CCACCATAGCTGAGACTGTAATGGGCCAAGAAAGCACAAAATACTATTTCTTTGCAGAAAAATTTACAGATCATTAATGTAGATGGCCCAAGAACCTACTTTCTGCCCCTATGTCTTTCTGATTTCCTAAATGCCTCATTTTATTTTATCAGGTAATTATTTCTTTTGAGACAAGATCTCACCATGTAGTTCAAGCTAGCTTTGAACTCACTGTGTAGCCCAGGCTGGCCTTGAACTCCCGGAGATCCTGCCTTAGCCTCCAGAGTGCTAGGATTATAGGTGTGGGGGTTGTGTTGGCAGTGCGGTTTAGTTTTCATGGGTTTCCGGGATTGATGCCTGTGGCTGTATAAACAATCCAGGCTTAAAGAAAAAAAAATGTTGGCTGACAAAATTAACAACACCTTCATCCCATCATTCCAGATCCTGGGCAGCTTTGTAAATACTCCTGCAGCCTAGTGCTCTGACCGACCCTCCAAAGCAGACCTCACTCCTTTCATTTGTTTACTAAATACAGTCAGTCAAAGCCCAGGTACCCAAAGTGAAGCATCTTGGGTAGTATATGCTTCACTGTCCCCAAATCCTGGGCCTGGAGTCCACACCCCGTCCCTTCCAGCAAGAGGCTGGCCACAGCGTTCGGTTCGGTTCATCTTTTCGGGCCAGCAAGTTGTAACCTGCCTGGTGCCCACCACTGCCTGGCACTGTGCTGCTTCGGCCAATCGGCAGTGACTGAGAAGGATCACAGCTCAGTCTGAGAGAGGAAGTGGCACAGGGCAGATGGATGAGTGGCCAGAGAGAGGATGGGTGGGGAGCGGGTGGCAGCCGCAGGTGAGATCCAGAGTCTGGAAGGAAGGGCCCGGAGGGGCGGCTCAGGCACCTTCCTGCAGGTGGGAGGGATTTCGGCCTGTTGAGAGACCAGGTGCCTCTTGGTGGCTTTAGCAGACTCCGCCGTGTCCTGGATGGAAGGGGTCAGAAGCGCAGTGAGCTGAGCGTATGTTCCTCGGTCTGAGACAGGCGGACCTGATTCCCGGGTACTGCTGTGTCCCCATGTGTCAGGCAGGGAGGAAGATGCTCCTCGTTCGCCCGGGACTGAAGGTGATAAGGGTCACCGGTCACTGGGTTCAGACAGTGCAGCCATGGTAGCTGTGGATGCCTTTCCATCAGCAGCCTAGCAAACCAGTGTGGAGCAGGGTTTTAGGAGCATGAGCCACGGTGCACTTAGCCCTACCACTGCCTGGGAGTGAGCCTCATAGCCAGACTTACAGTCAGCGTTTTTCTGTGATACACAGATGTGTGTGTGTGTGTGTGTGTGTGTGTGTGTGTGCACATGGGTGTGGGTATGTGTGTGGGACTCCAACACCTTCGCATCTTTCTATGGAACATTACAGAAAGTAGGTGGCATAAAAAAAACCTGAGGTAGCGAGTGTGGTGGCACATCCTGTAATCCCAGCACTCAGTAGGCTGAAGCAGGAGGATTCTTGCCAAGTTTGAGAACACTTTGGGCTACAAAGTGAACTTAAGACCGGCTCAAACTGTATAACAAGACCCAGGCTCAAAAAGACCAAAACAAACAAACCCCCCAAGGTACTGAACTAAGACATTCATCTGCAGACCAGCTTTGGAAAATCTTCCTTTGATAATAAAATGTCTGTGTCATGGATTATTGTATTTTATGTACATTTCTTTTTAGCAGCATTCAGAACCACTAAAGAAGTACAATAGCATTGATTCTTTTTTTTTTTTTTTTTTTTTGTCTTTCTCATTTTTATCGGTACCAGGGATCGAACTCACAACCGCCTGCTTGCAAGGCAGGTGCTTATGCCGCTGAGCTAAATCCCCAGCCCCACATTGATTCTTACAAACATAGCTCGCAGATTTTTAAAGAACCATCCAAGTTTTTGTAATGTGCACTGGATGCTCCCCAGAATAAAGGTTTTAATGTGATTTTCTCCCAGATTTTATGTGTACTATTCAATACATCAATTAAAACATCTGGGGATTTAGCTCAGTGGTGTAATCACCTGCCTTGCAAGCACAACGTTGTGAGTTCAATGCGTGGTACCCCCCCCCTCAAAATCTTATTAAATCATGAAATATTCATTGCAGCTAACGTTCTCTCCTTCATCCATGCCTCCTTTTCTCTGACTGAGGATCAAGCCCAGAGCCTTATGTATCATAGGCAAGGACTCAACCCCTGAACCCCAACTCCAGCCCCATCAGTTTTTTTCCTTGAAAATGTTTACTGTTCTATTTCTTCCTTTTTGTTGAGACTGGGTCTCCCTTTGTAGGCCAGGCTGGCCTTGACCGAATGGCAATCCTCCTGCCTCAGTCACCATGCCTAGCCTGTTTTTTATTTCTTATTAAGAAAAAAAACGAATTTATTTGAATTGTGGTAAAAATTTAAGATGTGGACTTAAAAATCCATGACATTATAGTCTCTTTTTTTTTAGATACCTTTTTTTTTCTAGTACCAGGAACTGAACTCAGAACCTTGCACTTGCCAGGCAGTATAGTCTTTTGGAAAGTTATGTAAGCAAAAGAGAAAAAAAAAAAAAAAAAAAAAACGAGGAGAGGGGGAGGGGCTGGGCAGAGGGGGAGAGATAAGGAAAGAGAATAATTAGCTTAGCAGATCTTGGTTTTTTAATTTATTGAAACTAATGGTTTAATTATTTTTTTGCTGATAAAGTCCTCCTTCCGCGCACACGCACGCACACACACACACAGACACACACACCCATATCATTTTATTTATTTATTTTTCACTGCCGCGCGCTGAGGGAAAGCTTGGAGCGTCAGTCTCAGGGGATGGAGTTTGATTCGTCAGTGCCAGTGACTCGTGACACTGCCCCACCCCTGCCATTGTGAGTAAATTAGTCTGAGCCAGTCAAGATAATTCTATGTTTGTCATCAGCCTAAGTCGTTGGCATGTGACAAATTCTGACCAATCAGGTTCTGCCAAAATAGTTCATGGCGCCAGCTCTGGCAGTCCCATAATGTCTCGACAGCATCCCATTCTCTTGGGCACTCTGGTCACACCTTACAGGAAGGTGTGCTCAGGGCAGGCTCAACGACATTCCAGAAGCTTGGCTCTGAGCTCGCTGGTTGGCAAGACACAGTCCAAGATCCTAAGGCAGCGTCTGGCCTTCCATCAGAGTCCGGCAGGTGGAGGGTGGACTGCTGAGTCCTGTCATGCATGCTAATCAATCCACATGTCCTGGTCACTTTTCATCTCTCCAGTGAAATTCACTCTAAGAGCAAACTAATTCGTCACTAACCTCACCTACAAAAATGGTTCTTAAACCACCATGTCTGGCCAAGCACAGACCCTCTTGCCGCGGTGTTTTGTGGGACATCAGCAAGCTGTGCTCCCTGAGAAATGAAGCCCCTTCCCTCCACCTTTACCTGAGCTTTACTTCTGCCCTACTCACTGAGTTATGCAGAGCTGGATATACAGAAGCAGGTGTTCCTTTAGCCGGCTGAAAGTATGTGACTGCGTCCCGCTGGGACGCTAGTGTGTCTCGCTGCAGCACTCAGGTGAGAATCGCCCCCTTTGCCGATAGCTGGAACGGGGGCTTCAGCAAGAAGCCTGTGAGATTTCAGAGCTAGGACATGAGATGAATGGAGGCCAAAGAAGCATACTTTCCTGGCAGCCCTGCATACACCAAGCTTTTTTTTGTCTTTTTGAGACAGGGTCTTGCTATGCAGTTCAGGCTGTCCTTGAACTCACTTTGTAGCCCAGGCTGGTCTCCAACTCCCAACAATCTTTATTGGAACTCAGTCACGCCCATGCTTCTATCAATGGCTGCTTTTGAGCAGCAGTGATCAAGGTCTCATAGAGTGAAGCTATTTGTGTTCTGCTCCTCTGCAGAAAACAGGGTGCTTGGCTCTGTTGTGGTTATTGGGCAGCTTGACACACAAGGGCCCCAGCACATGATGTGATCTTTATGTTCCATTAATCCTCTCTGGCAGGAAGCTACCGTTGAGGGTTTGCAAATCAGCTCCCACAGTTTCTTAAGTGTAAGCCACTCCAAGAAACCCATCCTTTTAAAAAAGAACTCCAACTCCTGGGCTCAAGGCCTCCTCCTGCCTCAGCCCCCCAAGTATCTGGGACTGCAGCCCTCCCCATCTAGCTCAGCCACACTTTAAACAGATAAATTAGGCAGCAAAATCTGGTCTGTCCTGACTGCCTCATGGGCTGCAAAACATGCCTTGGATGAGTGCGAGACTGGGCACCGCCTGCAGTTCTGACACTTCACGCGGACCTTTGGGTGGCCCTCCGTGGCCATCGGAAGTGTCAGAACCTGTGTGGGGTGTGGCCTCAGGCCCGTGTGATGTAAGTCCACTGTCCGCAGCTCTGAGAAGCTTCAGAGTCCAAAGCCTATTTGGCCAACAGGCACGGGTAAGCTCTGGACCCAGAGCTCCTTTCCTAAGCGTCCAAGCACAGCCATCTGCTCCCTGAGTGCCGTCTGCAGGCCCTCAGAGTCGGCAGAGGCGGCTGAGGGCACTGACGGTTGCTTTTGGGGTGCAAGGAGCTGTCAGGTCTTGTCCCCACTCCTTGGGTGGTTTGCCTGCTGCCGGAAGACTCTTGTGTTCCCCTCAAATCTTTCCAGGCTGCCACTGTAGACGCACATACCAAGTGTGCATGACCACACACACATACGTGTGCACACCCCCCCACACACATGCACGCTCATGCACAGGTTTCAGAAAGAAGCTGCACACTCGTCCATCTCCTGGAGCTCTGCGGCTGCCCCAACAAAACTCACTAGTAACCAGAAAGGAGAGAAAACAGATGATTCTCCAGCTGGACAGGGCTGGACTGAGCTGTTCTCATTGTGGTGAAGCCTCTGGTCCCACCAGGACCGGGCTCCTTCCAAAGGGTGATTACCCAGGCCTCCTGGTCCTGAAGCTCCAGGCCGGAGACAGCGGGAAGGTATAACTTGCCTGTTGGGTACTTAGATGACAGTACGGGGGCAAGACGGGTCAGACAGGGAGGCCGTTTCTTTCTTTTTTTTTTTTTTTTGTCTTTTTCCTTTTTACCAGTACTGGGGATCGAACTCACGACTTCCTGCTTGCAAGTCAGGTGCTTAGGCCGCTGAGCTAAACCTCCAGCCCCAGGGAGGCCGTTTCTAGCGAGAGGGCACCGCTTCCTCCAGGGGAAAATCAGTGTTTCCAGCCAGTGAGTCTTCAAGAGAGGCCAGGAGGAGGGAGATGAGCTGGAGGTTTGCCCTCGCAACCCTAAAGCCATGGAGCGGAGTGAGACACAGTTGTCGGCGGGGGACCGCTGCGTTATTTTAAGGAAAGCATGTATTGTGTGTGTGCACACAAGAGAGTGTGAAAATACAGACAAAGGACAAGAATCAGTTCTTGCCATTGACACAGGAAGCCTGGGACGTGGGACGGGGGAGGGGAGGGCCCCTTTCTGTTTTTAATGTGGACACTTGGGTAGGTTTCCAGCACAGTGTCATCTCCAAAACAAATAAAAGGAGCCAGCTAAACCAAATCCCCGGAGAAACAGCTCATGGACAGCCAGAGATGCCCTGAACTGACCGTCAAGAGGCTCCCAGGGCAGGTGGGCTGGGAAGCCGATGCAGGGCTCTTCCTGCCTGGAACCAGGTGGACTGCAGGCTCACCAAGACTTCTGGGCCGAGAGAGAAGCGAACATTCAGTTCTCTGCCTCTGTCTCTCATCTGTCCTTGTGTGTCTGTCTGTCTCTCTCCCCTTAGAGTTATTAACTCCTTTTGTGCTCACTGTTGTGGTTTGGGGTCTGTAAAGGAATAGGAAATACCCAAAATGACAGTCTTCATCATCTGTCCTCTAAAATATATGTCCTATTAAAAAGATCAAGTCCTACCTTCAGATATTAAAGATCAACGACAACAATAAACCCATTGCATTTGAACACGCACCCTTTTCAGAGCTCAGCAGGAATACGTGGGTCCTGGGGAATCCTTTAGACAGTGTACGAAACACTTTCTGGTCTTTGATTAATTGACCCTGTAGGACAGGGAGGTTGCCTTTTCCTTTTTTTAGATTATCTTTTAATTGAAATTGCATTAGATCTCATTTTTTCTCTTCTTTTTGTGGTACTGGGGATTGAACGCAGGGGTTCTTTACCACTAAGCCACACCTCCAGTCATTCTAAAATTTTATTTTGAGACAGAGTCTCCCTAACCTTGGCATCCTCCTGCCTCAGCCTCTGGAGTAGCTGGGATGACAGAGGTATTCCCATAGGCGGGGTATGATTGGCATCTACCCTTGTTTAATGTGCTCCTTATAAATTAGGCTAAAAACCAGAAAGTGAAGGCATCTGAGGACACGGGAACAGTTTCATCCTCCTCTCTCATCTCCATTTGCCAGGCAGATGTGGGCGCTTTTCCACCTGTGGATCTGAGACCAGCTTCTCTCCTGGCGCCTTTACTGCAGCTCTGAAACAGTAAGTGGCCGACACGGGTGGACCTTAGTTAAGATTTATAAAGTGGACAAACTTTTCTTAGAGCTGAGATTTTTAACATTGCAGGATACTTATCCAGTATGTCAGTGTCGCTGGGCTTTGAGGCTGCAGAATTTGTGTGTGAGCAAAGTGTATTTACACCCACCTTTCAGCCTATGTTTCTATAAAATGAGGCTCAAGCAGGGAAAAAAACTTGTTTGCATTGATCACAGGAGAGAAAAGGCTGTTTGGAGGCTTGGTGTAGGTAACACACTTTGTTTTCAAAGCATCCTGACTGCACTGTTTCTTACTTGATCCTCATAGCAAGGCAGGAGCTGAGTGAGCACCCTTCATGCCACAGATGAGGAAGGACAGGCATGAAAGGTTAACTCACACGTGAAAACGGTTGGCCAGAGACAGTCGGAGCCTCTTGCTGAAGGCAGGTGCGGTGTGGTTTGGTTTCGGCTTGGTTCGAGGTGCCGGGGATTACCCTAGGGTCCTGTGACTACGAGACCCCAGGCCTCTGCCGCTGGGCTGACCGCCTGCTCAAGTGACCGCTTACTACGCTTCCATAGGTGACTCCAGTGCTCGAGTGCCTTTTAGCTCTGCAGCAGCTTTTTAGAGGTGCTAGAAGAACTGCCAGTGGACACCCTACAAGCCACAGAGGTTTCCTGAAGCGTGATTCACCCCGAATACCTCTTGCGGGCTTAGAGAGGAGACTAATGTCACCTCTACTATCCGAATCACGCCAGCAGGCTTTGCGTGTCCTGCCAGGAACCTGTCTGTCTGTCTGTACTGTTTGTGACCGGAGGGGGTTGTGAGATTCTCGATTTTGGAGACCACACAAGTCCGTGGGAGCGGGCAGCTGGGACCCGCAGAGGCAGGGAATCGTCTCTGGTCACAGATACCATTCACTGCCCCTGGAAACGTTGGGGAAGCTCGGGCTCCCTCGGGTTTCAGGGCCTCGGCTCCTCCTTCACAGCAAGGAAGCCGGAATCACTGCGTGGACAAGGACAGTGACCTGGCAGAGCGGGAGCAGAAGGAGAGGGCGCCCATCTCCTGGCCTCTTTTTTACACTAAGCTGTCTTACAGGGAGGCTCCTACCAAAACACTGCGAGTGTTTTCATCATGACAGTCAAATTCAAGAATCCACACAGAAACCAGATACCTAAACCCAATGCCCGGGGGGCTCTGCCCAGGGGAAAACGAGGAAAAGTAATCATAGCCAAAGGTCAAAAACGCAAATCAGGGATTGGTATTTTCCTGGGGTGAGGCGTGGGGTGAATAATGGGTTTCTAGCAGGTCCAAAGTGATACGAAGCCAGCAATAATAATAATAATTATTAAAAAGTAATAATCATAGCTCATCTGGGTCTCTATGGCAGGTACTATTTGAGGTACTTTCCAAGCATTAATTCACTTATGGCCACACCAACCCTGTGAGATAGGTGTTATTATTATACTCACCTTAGCGTTGAGAGAAACTGAGGTACAGCCAGGACAAGAGCCTGTCCAGGACTGGTAATGAAGCGAAACTCCGCCCTCACCCTGGTGGTTATCAACAACACAGGTTTGGACCTCGGTGAATGAATTCCGCGGTGAGCTAGCTGGCCTCCGCCACCAAAGGCCCGTTTGGTAATTTGGTGCGGTGTCTTTTCTTCAGCCACTAGAGAAGAGTTCCAGGCTGTACATCAGGGTCACTGCTGGGAGGCCAGAGGGTCCTTCCCATCATAGGATGAGAGCTAGTGAAGCACTCAGAAGCCAGGCACGGATGCTCCACTCCGAGCGGCTCTTTCTCTGGGTGCATTAAGGTCCAGGTCTAGTTTGGACTCGGGCGGCTGATGAAGTCAGTCACAGGATCCCCCTCTCTGCTGATTTCACAAATCCAGTGCCTGCGTGATCCCTTTCACTGTGTGCTTCTGCACATCATGGAGATTTGTCTCAGCTCTGCCGAGTTCACTAGATGAGCAAGGGTCATTTCAGACTTCCTCATGTGGAAGGACCAGGGTCTTCTAGGTCACAGATACCATTCACTGCCCCTGGAAACGTTGGGGAAGCTTGGCTGTGTGTAGCAGGGTGGACTGAACAGCGCACCGACCGGTTGTACTATGCTATTTCCAGCTGGTGAGGACCCTTGGACCACAGGGTGGCCAGTTAAGAAAGCCATCGAGGATCCGTGCTCTTTCTTTCTTCCAGCTATGCTGTCCTTTGCCTATGACCCTCCACCTCGCGGTCCCCTCCGTGATGGTTGCTCTCCTGGGAGAAGAGAAGGTACCAAATGTGTATGCCGGCCAAAGGTTTCTTTTTCAATGATGGAAACAGAATCTGGGGTCTTGCACATTCTGGGCAAATGTGCTGTGGAACTCTATTTCCACCCTAGAATTTTCCTTTTTACTAAAGAAAAACATTTCTGCAAGGGAGTTGGGGAAATTAAGTCATTTTTTTTTTTTTGTTAAGTTTCCACCGACTGTAAATAAGTCCCTGATTCAGACAATAGAAAGAGGAGAAAGAACGTTTGATAAGTAGTAGCCACATGGCTCAGTGTGTGTCCCCTTCCTACGGTGAAATCTAACCCCTGGTGGTATCAGGCAGCGGCAGGTTTGGGAGGTGACTGGGTCATGGGCGCTTTTATAAAGTGGCCCCCGAAAGCTGCCTGGACCTTTGCACCACACGAGGGCTGGTAGGAAGCCCCATCTATGAACCGAAAGAGGGCCCCACCAGGCACCAAATTTACCTGTGTAATGAGACCTGTAGAATGGATCTGTGTCATTGCAAACCCTGCTGTGGTGGAGAACACTACATCTCTACATCTTCTGCTTCCTCCTGATTTGTCTGCTCTTCTGCTAAGCTTCAGGGCTATGCTGCTTGAGGTCCCTGGGCCACAACCATTGTCTCCAAATAGCCATTTTTCTTTCCCCTCTTTTGCCCTTTACTCGGAAGGCACTCCCTGCCCGCTGGTCTGCCGCAGCTCAGGGTGTCTCCTCTCTGCTCCCTGTTTACTGTGGCCCTGTGGCACCATTTCCACAGACACAGCCTCTGCTTAGCATTTCTCCACTCACCCCCGGCTTGCTTGTTTGGCAGCTGCGATTCTCAAGCAGCCAGACCTTGGTGGCCGTTGACTGCTGGACTCAGTGCCCGGTGCCCACTTCATGCCGGCCCCTCGGTGTGTATCTGAGGAAGACATTGATCGCATCAGAGATGCCGGCTTCAGCGCTTTCTTAGGCCCGATGCCGGGTCCCATCCTGCCGGGACCAGGGGGCGCGATCTCAGTCCAAATGCAGCTGACTGTGACTGGCGGCTCTGCTAGCGGGAGCAGTTGCTCAGCCTCCTGGTGGCCCAGTATCTTCATCGATGAATGTCTATTTTAGAGACATGTCTCTTCTACAAAAACAAAGGAGACAGGGCAAGAGACCAGAAGGTCTTTTAGTGACGGGGAGAGAGGAGTGCGCAGGGAGAGGTTACAACAGGGACGAAAATCAGCAAAATATGTTATATCCATGTACTGATGTACCTCCAGAATCTCATTATCCGGCACTGCCAAAGTGCACCAGTGGAAGAAAAGAAATACAGACCTACAGAAAAAAACACCATGTCTTAATGGGGGCAGGGGTCACCTGTAATATCAGCTATTCAGGAGGCTGAAGCAGGATGATCAAAAATTCCAGGTCAGTCTGGGCCACTTAGAGAATCTCTGTCTCCACATAATAAGGGCCGGGAGGTAGTTCAGGAGTAGAGCTCCCCACAGCATGTGCGGGAGGCCTGGGTTCTCCCCCCAGGACAGCAAAAACCAAACCAAATCGAATCAGCACCGTAACCATATCTCACTCCCATTCCAGACAAATAAGACAGAGACTGGCAGCGCTGAGGATGTTGCTCAGCAAAAGAAAAGGTGTCCAGTAGGGTCACCGTGGGGCAGGCAGCCCTTCCCCAGGAAGGGCTTTGAAATCAGACGTGCAGTATGCCACCAGCGAGGCGCACACATGCAAAACTAAAGGCCTCAGAGCTGTGACCTGCCCGGGCCAGCGGGAAGAAAACCCGAACAGGCAGCGCGCTCAGACGTGGAGAAGGCTGATGTCCACAGGGCAGAGCACCGGAGCCATCTGCCACCACAAGTCCTTTGAAGAAGAGCGTCACTTCCTTTCCCTCCCCTCCGAAGCGAGACCGGTATAAATCCTGCTCAGCAACACAGAGAAAGGAGGCCCTCAGAGCCATTTTTAGCTTCCCCCTATCGGCTTAGATTTCACATTTTAAGTTTGTTTTTGGAGTTTTCTTCCAACCCAAATAAACACAGGCTCAGAAATGAAAGGACTCAGGTTATTACTCTGATTCTGCAGGGGCAGATGGCAAGGCCGGTTCCCAGGGAGTGTGTCTGCCTCCAACAGGGTCCTAAAGGCAGGAAATGGGCAGCTGCCCATTCCTGATCACTCACAGTGGCGGTCACCGTGTCACCTTCAGCTCTTGTAAGGCCACTTCTTCAGACTTTCCCTGTGCTTCAAAACAACACTCGATAAGGAAGCTTGCAACATTTTCCAGGCACCTTACATTCAATCTTTCTGTTTGGGTTGGCTCACATCCCCTTCTGTGAGCACGATCACCAGCCTTGATGAAAGGAAGCACATTTCATCCACTCATCCATCCATCCATCCATCCACCATCCATTCATCAACTCATCCATTCATCCATTCATCCATTCATTCACACGGAGAGTCTACTGCATGTCTGTCCTGCTAGTGAAACCCCTCCCTTCAGGACAATTCATTTCTAGCCAGAAAGCTAATTAACTACTAAGTACAAAGTTTGCTTGTTTGTTTGTTTTGTCTTTTTGAGACAGGATCTCGCCATGCAGTCAAGGCTGACACTGAGTTCACTTTGTAACCCCGGCTGGTCTTGAACTTGCAACGATCCTCCTGCCTCAGCCTCCCAAGTGCTAGGATTACAGGCACGCACTACCACCCGTAGCCTCAAATTTATAAATCAATACAGAATTGAATATACTATGTTTCCAGTAATTGCATTTAATAGAGTAACTGTGTTTATGACCACAAGACAACTCTCGAATAAGACTTATTACTTGCTGGGTGGTATGGTAAGGACTTTATGTATTAACTCATTTTATGGGTCCCTATTTTACAAATGGAGGAGCTAAGAAACTGAAAGATTAAATACATTTTGGAAGCCCTACGACCAGATTAGGGCCGGGGTATTTGAAAGTCGGCTGCATAGACTTTTAGAATCACCCTGTGTGCATGTATGCACATGCCTCTGTGTGTGTGTGTGTGTGTGTGTGTGTGTGTGTGTGTGTGTGTGTTGGGGGGCTGGTGGGGGGGCTGGGGGACTAAACAGATGCCTCAAGGCAGAGTAGGAAAGCAAAAACAGAAGCTGGGGGCAGGAAGGAGTGGGGCGGGGTGGGGACAGAGTGTTGGGGGCACGCTGTCCCCGAGACCCCAGCAGCAGGCAGACCCCAGGGGTTTAGGTTCAGGCTCCTGGGCCTGACGGAGCCGGGCTCACCCGTTGTGGTCAAGAACCTCCAGGCCATTTCCAGTCTCTGCTGTCTGCCAGCAGCTGAGCCGCATGCATCTCCCATCCTGACCGGGTCGCCACCCGGTGACAGCTCTGAATGCAGTGATCCATGGCGGTGCCGACTACGGCCTGTGAGCGGCTCTCACACTAACCCACCTCAGAACTTCCCCGAAGTGCTGTTTCCTTGGTTGTGGTTTCAGAATAAACTCTGAATATCTGGTTGTTTTCTTGTGATTTGCATGATTTCTAAAAATAGGGCACAGGAGCCAAAAATAAGGAGATGGGGTTTATGCACCCAGATGCCAGCGAATCAAGAGCTTACGGCCATTGATGTTTACCTCCGAGGCGGACCTCTTAGGACTCCTGGCTTCGGCAGGAAAAGACTGGAGGAAAGGGAAACTAAGTAACCCCGTGCCACTCACCGTGTGGGGCCAGGAAAACTCACTCACTAATTTTTTTGGTACCGTGGATCAAACTCGCGACCTCACGCTTGCCAGGCAGGTGCTTGCACTGCTGAGCTAAACCCCCAGCCCAAGGAAGACGCCACATTCACTCTGCTTACTGCAGACCACTGAGGGTTTCTCCACTGAGCGTTCCTCAGGAGAAGATGCAGAGTCCAGGCCACCTGGGTTAGAACCCTCCAACTCCTCATTCCTTAACGGTGACCTCAGGGGTCCCTTTCCTTTCCTGAGCCTCTGTGTCCTCATCTGTACAATGAGCCCTGCCGATCGACCATTTCGAAGGACTGGTGGTAGTGATACAAAGACCTGAACTCCCATGACCCTCGCCTGTCTCCCACGTCTGTGTGACCCTGGGTCTCCTGCTGCAGGGCTGGGGTGAAGCTCAGTGCTAAAGTGTGTGCTTAGTGTGTGTGCAATCCTGGGTTTAATCACCAGCATCACAGAAACAAAAACCTCAGTCTGGCTTTGAGATTCTTTTTATTATGTCCCTGGACAGGGGAGGAGAGGAGAGGAGAAGAGAGGAGAGGAGAGGAGAGGAGAGGAGAGGAGAGGAGAGGAGAGGAGAGGAGAGGAGAGGAGAGGAGAAGCGAGGGGAGGGGACAGGAGGGGAGGGGAGGGTGGAAATGTAGCTTTACTGAGAGGATATAATTTGTTGAACATTCTGCTTAAGTTTTCAAAGTGCTACTGACTACTAGAGCCTGGATGGTCTGTCTTCTGCTTGGCAGTGAGATGCAACTTCCCACATCATAGTTAGCTGTACTAGGCCATTTTCTAACACAACCCCCCTTTCTTCCCCAGGACATTTGCACATACTACTCCTCTGCCTGAAGGGCTATTCTGTAGACCACCCACTCCAGGCATGGGCCCCTTGAATTTCTATGCATACCTGATTTCTTCAGAAAGCCCTCTTGATTACTCTTTTTATGATCTAGTTTTGTTGTTCATAGCACCCACCAAAACTTGGCATCATTACTTTTTTGCGTATCTGCATCTAAAACTACAAGCTCTTTGGCAAACGTGTTTGTTTGTATATTCCCCAGTGCCTTGGTGCAATATTTTGCATATAATAGGTGCTAAATAGTTTCCCTCTGAGTTTGTTATGGATTCTAAACTTGCAAATTGGTGACCCACATTTGGTTGCAAACCTCCTATTTCCAGGCAGTTGCACTTGGTTTGCTTTTGATTGGCCAGAGCTGTGCTGCTTTGGGGTGACCCAAACATTTGTTGTCTTGTGTGTGCTCCCCGACCTGCCCCGTGAGGGTGAGGTTGAAATGTCAGGAGATACCAAATGAAGCGTGAGATGGGGCAGCCCTTTAAACCTGTAAACATCCGAAACCCTGAAGCACCTTTGGCTCCCAGAGGGGAGAATCCGGTCCTTTAGCACATGACGCCCGAGTGTACAGTCAGGACCACTCAGCACGTGTTTATTCTGAGTCGCACGTCCCTTTGTTTCCTGTAAGTATTGCTTCATGCTCTACCAGGATCTAAGGTCATAGAAACACAAGGAGACATTAACATATCAATGGGGGGATCGCTTTGGAATCCAGAATTTAGACTAATATTTACATGGCGAGCTCCCGAAGCCTCCCGGGCAAGTCTGTTTATTGATTGCCTTTAATTTCCTTTTAAACAGTGTCTACTCCTGAATAAAAGATTAAGAGAGGAGGGCTCAGCTTGTGTTGTGACTTATATTCAATTTCTCCTCCTCTCCATTCAGAAGCGCCTTGCACACCCCTCCCCATCCCCGAGGTGTTTGGATTCTGTTCCTCAAGCCAAATAGCTGCTGGTCACCAAGGCCTGCACCTTAATTGAATTTGTCTTTGTGTACTTAATCTTCATGCGTATAAGAAGGGGGTGGGGGGACGTGTACAGAACCTGTGTACCTCAAAGTACGCACCATCGTTAGGAGAATAAGCCGAGGAAAGAGGTACAGCATGGGCTTTAAATCCTCGCAGTGGAGGATGCTGGATAGAATTGCTGGGCTGCTCTTCGCTTTGGGGGCTGTTTCACCCCAGTACAAAGGTGCCGTCCTGCTCCCTAAACTGCTGTACCGCTTTGGAGCAATTCCATGGCTTTTGTTTTGGCTGTACATTTTTTTCCCCTTTTAGGGAAGAAATAACGCAAAGGTAGCCAGCTGTGGTGGTGCGTGCTTACAATCCAGCCCTCTAGGAGGCCGAAGGAGGAGGACCACAAGATTGAACAGAGTCTAGGAACTGGGCAGCTTAGTGAGACGCTGTCTTAAGTGAAAAATAAAAAAAGGGCTGGAGGCGGAGCTCAGTTTGAAGATCTTGGTTCAATCCCGAGAGAGAGAGAGAGAGAGAGAGAGAGAGAGAGAGAGAGAGAGAGAGACAGAGAGAGACAGACAGAGAGACAGACAGAGAGACAGAGAGACAGAGACAGAGAGACAGAGAGACAGAGAGACAGAGAGACAGAGAGAGAGAATCCTGTTTTGCGTAGAGCTTGGTTTCTCTTTAAATGAATAGTT